TGTCAAGTGGAGAAACTGGAGGTCCACCCGATGAGATCACTGATGAGCACCTGGCAGCCACCCTGGAGACATCAGCATGATACAGCAATTTCCATAAACTGGCATAGGAAGACATTCCTATAAGAACTGGACTAAAAAACTATGGAATCAGAGTCCAAGGTTCTGCTGCCAGCCTACCAGGAGCTTCAGATGCGCATCTGATCAGGACTTTGCTCCCCACTACCATCACTTGTGTACAGAGTACCTGGCCAGTATTCTGTCACAAGCAACTTCCAGGCTGGTAACTATACACAGAACTTGAATGAATGGATGTATGAATGAATGGTTTATATATATATATAAGTGTATAAGGGTTAAGTAGTGATAGGAATAAGTAGTTAAACAACGTTGTTTGCTTCTATCTTTTCTTTATTTTTTATTATCATCTTTACAATAAATGTGGCTTTTTGCCTTATCCCCCTCATAAGATCCTGCTTGCTTTTATTTGGTATAGCAACTGCTGGTGCCAACTCTGCTCTGGGAGCTGATGTCGGTATCTGCACCTGACCCCCTGACGGGGCAGGGCTTGGCTCTGAAGTGCTGTGGGCAGCTTTGTGCTTGTCAGCACGATACACTAGGCCCGTTCTGGAGGTGCCTGGCTTCTCCATAACCTTAGTCCGCTTTGAAATAGAATGGCGGGAGGGCGAAGATCTCCTCTCAGTCGGACTTAGAGCGGACCTCTTATGTGCTGCCGCTGTCTCCGGAGGCCCCGAGTCATGAGAGCTGGACTCTCAGGGTGGGGTTGCAGGGCCCTATTAAAGAGGAGCATCTTGAGCCGTATATTGCGGTCTCTCTTGCTTGCACCGTAAGTTTGGCACAATGTTGGCACAATGTTGGCATTTTTCGGGAATATGACCCTCTCCTAAACATTTGATACACCTGGAGCATCCATCTGAGGCCGGCATTGCATCATGGCAAGCCGCACATTTCTTAAAGCCGGCGGATCCCGGCATGTTGTGAAGAAAAAAATATTTGTTTTTGTTTTAAATGTGAACTATGAAACAACTAAGACTAATAACAAGAACTATAATAAGTAGAACTAACTAAGTATATTTACAAATTTTTCTCTCAGAACTACAGGAGAGCAGTTAGACTCCGTCTGCAGCTGTAGATGGTTAGGAGGAACTGGCAAGAGTCAGGCTGCGAACGCTCAGATTTGGCATATGCTGCGCATGTGTGGCCTGGTTGGACCACTGCTGAAAAATCTCTGGTCTGCAGCGCGGGACAAGCCCAGCACCTAGAGTGGAGCACTCGAAGTGGCCCCTTACCCTCTCATGCCCAGCTCCTGCACCCCTACCCCCATCACTAACCTCCCTTGCTGAGCCCTGCACCCCACCCTGCTTCTACTCCCTCTCCCCTGGCCAAACACCCTGCCCCAGCCTGGTCCTCCACCGTACCTCCCCCCCAGACCTCACCCCCTTCTGCAGTTCACCTCCCACCCAGATCCTGCACCTCCATCCCTATCCCACTCACTGGCAGTCCTGTCCCGCACACTGAACCCCTCATTTTTGGAACCCCAGAAGAGTAAATCTGGCCTGAGGCCTTAAACCTCAGGCCTCCTGGCCCTCCCCCACCATGGGGCTGGAGCATCAGGATAGTGAACTGTTTCAGCTGAGGGCCACATCAGTGAGGGTTGGGCGGTTTTAGAGGGTTTCCCCCTGTGACGGCGCGTTGGGGGTCCCCTGTCTCCTGCACCCCGAAATGGCACAAACAGACTGCACCAGCCAGTGGAATTGAGGGTGGGTTACTGCTCCTCCAGCACAGCGCAGCACAGATGTAATCTGGTTACAGGAACTGGGCTAGGATGCCTCAGGCCCCCTTGAGATGGGGGAGACTGGGCCCCTAAACTCCAGCCCCTTCCCCTAGGCTCTCCTCCATGCCCTCCGACAGCCAGCAACCAACTCCCTCACTTCCAC